GAATTGACAGCATCCTACAGGCCATTGAAAAGCAACTTGAAAGAAGAAATTCACTAAGGAGCTATGAGCATGCACTTAATCTCAGAAAGAATTATTTCAAAGCTCAGAAGTGAAGAAACCCAGCAAGACGGCACTTGACCACAAAGGGGGAGATTGTTAGAACTTTTATTGTGGGTCAAGTTTGTCAATTAAGTCTTGTTCAATAAAGTAGACTAGTTATACCATTTATGGTATTAGATTAGTATTATTATGTAATAAATAAGGTAAAGGGAATAAGGCCCAAAAAGGCCTTGGCCCAACTTCCAAGGTTTACCTAAATCGGTAACCTGTACAGCGCCTATAAATATGCGCCTTGTGTACAGGTGCCGATATCGATCAATACACATTAGCCTTACGCTGCCAAAAATACTTCTCGATATAATAGAAAGGCGATTTCCAAGTTCTCGACATTGCATAAATCATTCTGGGTAATCGTTCTTCTCTGTTTGTCGATGAAATCCATCTAGCTGTGTGTTAGTCTACATAAACTGGGACCAACAGTAGTTATAAAATACACAGAGACCAGACGTTTACCAGACCAGACCAGACCAACAAATTTAAGTCCAAAAGAAAACATCCTAAGATATCACTTGATGATTAAGCGGTTCAGCTCAGCTGGTCACCATTCTTCCATACGGGAGTTCCAGCCATGTTTATCCCAGTCCCCAGGCTCCCCCACACCACCTGGTGTAAAAAAACAAATTAGACGATACCACTTGATTTTCTTTAAGAATTTTTTTTATTAATATTATTCTTTAAAATGTGGTGGACACAAATACTGTGTATTACATAGTACTCCGTAGTAATTGCTATTAGTGACTATAGTTGTTTCATATATATCTATATATATCGTAGTAATTACATGTAAGTTACTACAATGTAAACTTTGAACACAATTATAGTCACTAATAGTTACTAAGTAATACTATTTTCTTCCATGACTTTTTTTATTAGTACTGTACTATTTAAGGAAAAGTCTCTTTCTTCAATTCCATCTAACTAAGACTATGGTAAAGATGGTATGCTTTAAATCGAACTAAAATTAAATGAATAAATTTAGAAGAGAAATCATGAGAATGATGTATTAAGATCAAATAAAGAGAATAATGTCTTCTAAGGAAAAAACTGAAAATGATTAAGATCATTGCATTGCATTCATATATAAGGATCTTAGACGGACAAAAATGCAGAAAAGGTAATAAAAACAAATAGACAATTTGATAATCAAACCATCCAAATCAATTTAACTAAAATATGGAACTAATTTAATCATATATACTATGTAGTTGTTAATTAAAAGAGTACCAATTTAGCAAAATTACTATAAGAGAGAACACTACAAAAAAACAGCGTTATAGTCACGGATTTTAGTCACGGATTTGGTCCGTGACTAGTTTAGTCACGGTCTAGTCACGGTCTAGTCACGGAAATTTTTAAAAAAAAAATAGTCACGGTCCAGACCGTGACTATGACCGTGACTAACATTAGTCACGGTCTTGGCCCGTGACTTAAGTCCTCCGATAGGCCCGTTTCCGTTTCCGGCGTAGTTTATTTGATTCCGACGACTTAGTCACGGCCAAATCCGTGACTATACCCGTGACTATAATTAAAATTTAATTTTTTCAGCTCCCTTAACTTAATTCGCAACGGCATTATGTACTGATAATTTTAGTCACGGCCATGTCCGTGACTAGTTCCGTGACTACTTTGATTAACACGTCATTTACACGTCATTAACACGTGTTGGACGCGTATTGGACACGGTTTTGCTTAGTGACGGACAAATCCGTGACTAAGTCCGTGACTAACTTTTTTATATATGCAGGAGCAGCTCATTGAACAGAACCACACCAATTCATTCCCAGTATATACAGTATCCGTAGATCGAAGGATGTAGTCTATCTTCTATCATTTTCCCTGTTTATGCAGATAAGGTATGTTATTTGAATTATAATTTTTATTTAGAATTAGTTGGTTCAATTTAAATTATTAAAACTATTAAATTAGTGAGGTTGTTAATTAATTAACAACATGTTTTAACTATAAGCGTAGTAATGTCATAAATTAGAATTAGTTAAACTTTTAGGTTTATAAATTAAAATAATTTAATTAAAATTAGTTAGCTAAATGTGGTTTAAAACGTAATGATGTTTATGTTTAGTGAAATTAGTTCAAATAACGTACGTTAGTAATGTGTTAATTAAGTGAATTGTGAATTGTTATTGTGAATTGTGTATTGCTTATTAATTCAAATAACTTTATATACATGTTCAAATTATTGGGTTGAATTTGGTCATATTATTTAATTTAGTGAATTGTTAATTGTGTATTACTAATAAGATTAAATGTCATTAACGTAATAATTTAGTGTAGGTTTAAACGTAGGTTTACAAAAATAATTTAATTAAAATTCGTTTGCTAAACGTAGGTTTGAACGTAGCTATTGATGTGTTAATTAAGTTAAATTAGGTAGCTAAACGTAGGTTTAAACGTAGTGATGCATTAAAAGGGGACGGAATGAACTAGTTAAATTTAGTTAAATTTAACTAAATGAATTAGTTAGATTTAATTAAACGTATGTTTAATTTAGTGAAATTATCTGCATTATTGTGCATTAGGGGACATATATTTTGTGCATTATTGTTGTGAATTCTGTGCATTTCATTTAAAAAAAAGTGAAAATTAGTTGATTATATTTAGTGAAATAAATTACTTAAAATTGTGTGCATTGCATTTCATATAATTTTTTATTATAATATTCAGGCATAATGTATAAACAAAATAGAAGTTGGATGTATGATAAAGATGCGGTATTGTACGGAATGCAATCAAATTTTCTCGAGGGAGTCGGGGAATTTATTGAATTTGCACTTGAACATCCGGCTTATATGAGTGGTGATAAAATAAGATGTCCATGTTCAAAGTGTAAAAATCTCAAATTTAAAGACCCACACGAAGTTGGGTATGATTTGTACGCGGTCGGTTTTGTTCCCAATTATTATAATTGGACTTCTCACGGCGAACCTTTGGATCCATCTGTTATACCACAAAAAACTAGATCGAAGTATCGTTTAATTATATAAATTTGTACTACTGTAGTTTATCTGAAATTTATTAATTACTTCATCCGTCCTAAATTAATTTGCAAAGTGAATATTTTTTTGTTAATCAATGTTAATGTTAAGTCCTCACATAGTTAATACAATTTTTTATACTTAATATTTATATATTTTGAAACCATATCAAAATCTCTTTAAAGTTACAAAATCCAAATTAGAGTATACTTTCTTCGAAACGCCAAAGTAGAGTATAATTAAAAAATTGATATCCTAATTAAGTGAATAAAAAGAAATTGTTTGACAAAAAAGGTTGACTTTGGAAATTAATTTGAGACGGAAGTAGTACGAAATATGAAAATTGATAAATTGTGTAGATATTTGGAGGATGACTACACTTTAATTTTATCCTAAACACTTGAAAAGAGTTACATTTTTAAGGGGGCCCGAGGGGAGTAATCATGGCTGAAACTCACTCCATTGAATTTCGAACTTTTTTGCACTTAGCGGGTTTCGAACTCGAGACCTCCCTGGCCACTAAGCACGTTAACCTCAAAACCAGCTGGGCTTGAATACTGGAATGCTTGGTTTTGAAAAGAGTTACATTGTTTCATACCGTCCCGTGTACCGACAAAATATTGGATCGAACCGGACCGTGTCCACCCCTAATTTATATCATGTTAAATTTTAGTATAAAAAAAAGTATTAATTTGAATATATCTCTTTCTTTCACAATTAATTTAATGCTTATTGGATCAATGAACTATTTACTATTGGTCTATAATTTTTTAGTTGTTTTTCATTTAATTTTTATGTTATTTTGAGCCCGTTTGGTAGCACGAAAATCGGCTATTTTGGCTGATTCTGCTGAAATTTCTGAAGTTCTGACTGAAGTTGCTGCATTGGCTGATTCTGCTGATTTAAGAAAATTTCAGTTTTAAAATATATTTTATTAATACAATAATTTAAAAATTATATGTAAAAATAGCCAAAATGATCATCTACATTAACTTCAGCCAATACAGCCGGAAAAGTAACTGTAACCTTACTTTTTCTGCTTATTACACAATTTCAGCGTGCGAAAGCAAAGATTACCACTACAAGAAAAAGGCTTATTCGCGAAGGGAAAAGCGGTCGCAAAAACCCAATAAACGGTCGCAAATGGTTAATTGCGACCAAAAAAAGTGGTCGTGGTGCCGTCCCTATTGGCCTGGCCGCAAAAGACATTTTGCGACCAAAAAAACTGATCGGTCGCTAAAACCTTTTGGGACCACATATGATACCGTCGCTAATGACATTATTGAAGACCACTTCCTAGAACCAATTGCGACCACTATCCCTTCCCTATAGCAAATTTATACAAGCCCGAATTACTAATTGCGACAACTTCTTTAAAGTATTTGCAACCAACTTCCCTTCACTACAAAAAAACAGCGTTATAGTCACGGATTTTAGTCACGGATTTGGTCCGTGACTAGTTTAGTCACGGTCTAGTCACGGACTAGTCACGGAAATTTAAAAAAAAAATAGTCACGGTCTGGACCGTGACTATGACCGTGACTAATGTTAGTCACGGTCTTGGCCCGTGACTTAAGTCCTCCGATAGGCCCGTTTCCGTTTCCGGCGAAGTTTATTTGATTCCGACGACTTAGTCACGGCCAAATCCGTGACTATACCCGTGACTATAATTAAAATTTAATTTTTCAACTCCCTTAACTTAATTCGCAACGGCATTGTGTACGGATAATTTTAGTCACGGCCATATCCGTGACTAGTTCCGTGACTACTTTGATTAACACGTCATTTACACGTCATTAACACGTGTTGGACGCGTATTGGACACGGTTTTGCTTAGTGACGGACAAATCCGTGACTAAGTCCGTGACTAACTTTTTTATATATGCAGGAGCAGCTCATTGAACAGAACCACACCAATTCATTCCCAGTATATACAGTATCCGTTTGAAAGATCGAAGGATGTAGTCTATCTTCTATCATTTTCACTGTTTATGCAGATAAGGTATGTTATTTGAATTATAATTTTTATTTAGAATTAGTTGGTTCAATTTAAATTATTAAAACTATTAAATTAGTGAGGTTGTTAATTAATTAACAACATGTTTTAACTATAAGCGTAGTAATGTCATAAATTTGAATTAGTTAAACTTTTAGGTTTATAAAATAATTTAATTAAAATTAGTTAGCTAAATGTACGTAGTTTAAAACGTAATGATGTTTATGTTTAGTGAAATTAGTTCAAATAACGTACGTTAGTAATGTGTTAATTAAGTGAATTGTGAATTGTTATTGTGAATTGTGTATTGCTTATTAATTCAAATAACTTTATATACATGTTCAAATTATTGGGTTGAATTTGGTCATATTATTTAATTTAGTGAATTGTTAATTGTGTATTATTACTAATAAGATTAAATGTCATTAACGTAATAATTTAGTGTAGGTTTAAACTAAACGTAGGTTTACAAAAATAATTTAATTAAAATTCGTTTGCTAAACGTAGGTTTGAACGTAGCTATTGATGTGTTAATTAAGTTAAATTAGGTAGCTAAACGTAGGTTTAAACGTAGTGATGCATTAAAAGGGGACGGAATGAACTAGTTAAATTTAGTTAAATTTAACTAAATGAATTAGTTAGATTTAATTAAACGTATGTTTAATTTAGTGAAATTATCTGCATTATTGTGCATTAGGGGACATATATTTTGTGCATTATTGTTGTGAATTCTGTGCATTTCATTTAAAAAAAGTGAAAATTAGTTGATTATATTTAGTGAAATAAATTACTTAAAATTGTGTGCATTGCATTTCATATAATTTTTTATTATAATATTCAGGCATAATGTATAAACAAAATAGAAGTTGGATGTATGATAAAGATGCGGTATTGTACGGAATGCAATCAAATTTTCTCGAGGGAGTCGGAGAATTTATTGAATTTGCACTTGAACATCCGGCTTATATGAGTGGTGATAAAATAAGATGTCCATGTTCAAAGTGTAAAAATCTCAAATTTAAAGACCCACACGAAGTTGGGTATGATTTGTACGCGGTCGGTTTTGTTCCCAATTATTATAATTGGACTTCTCACGGCGAACCTTTGGATCCATCTGTTATACCACAAACGGTAGGTTCGTCTCGTTACGTCCCTCCAGAGATGAGTGCGTGGGGAGACCGTGCTGAAATGAGGTGGGACCAACAAATGGTATATGACGCATACGGTGTACCGTCTCAATTCAACCCCCCACAACCACCTAACGACCCCCCTGAAGCCTCAACCTCGTATCAACCAGATGTGGATGAAAATCCGACATTTTATCAACCTTATGTGGATGAAGGTTTGGCTGAGAGATTTCAGGATGTTCTAAAAGCTGTCGACCAACCTCTGTATGCTGATTGTGAGGGATACTCTCAGCTATCCGCTGTTACTGAGTTCATGAACATAAAAGCCGAATACAGTCTCCCTGAAACTTGCATGAATAGAGTCTTGCAGTCAGTAGGAGGGATGCTACCGCGAGATCATACCCTTCCCGATTCATATTACCACATGAAGCAGTTAATGTCTAAGTTGGGGCTACCTTGTGTTGAAATTGATGCGTGCCCGGAAGGATGTATGTTGTTCTGGAAGGAGGATGAGGCACTTGAGTTCTGCAAGTTCTGTGGTGGAGACAGATACAAACCTGTTCGTCAAGGTAAAAAGAAACCACGACATAGGTCTGCACTGTCTAAACTGTATTACCTCCCAATAGCTCCTCGACTGCAAAGGATGTACGCTTCGACTGCTACTGCGAAACACATGACATGGCATGTTGAGCACGAAACCAACGAGGGTATGATGGCTCACCCTTCGGACTGTGAAGCCTGGAGACACTTTGACCGCTGTCATCCTCAGTTTGCTATGGAGCCACGAAATGTGCGGCTGGGATTGTGCTCAGATGGATTTGCTCCTTTTGGCAGGTTTGGCAAGAACTATTCATGTTGGCCGGTCATGTTAACACCTTACAATCTCCCTCCCGACATGTGCATGAAAAGTCATTTCATCTTTTTGTCTTTAATTTGTCCGGGTTCCAAGGATCCTGGGCGAAAGATAGACATTTATCTTCAACCCCTTATTGAGGAGATGAAAGAATTGTGGGCCGTTGGGACACCAACTTATGATGTTTCATCAGATAAAATGTTTATCATGAAAGCTGCCATCATTTGGACCATTAGCGACTTCCCTGCCTATGGCATGCTTTCGGGATGGAGCACACACGGTCTGATGGGATGTCCGATATGCATGGAGAAATCAGGTGCCAACTGGCTCAGTTACAGCAAAAAAGGAAGTTACTTTGATTGTCACCGCAAGTTTCTCCCGGAAAGGCACCGATATCGAAAGGACAAGAAGTCTTTCATTAGAGGCAGAGCGGTACGAGAGAGCCCACCCCCGAGATTGACCGGTGAAGAAATTTATAACCGGGTTCGACGTTTTCCTACGGCTATGGAAGAGCCAAACCAAGAGCCATATGGGTATTGTGATACCCATAAGTGGACAAAGAGGAGCATATTCTGGGAGTTGCCTTATTGGAAAGACCTTCTCATCCGTCACAATTTAGATGTCATGCACACCGAGAAGAACGTCTTTGACAATATATTTAACACGGTGATGGATTTGAAAGGCAAAACTAAAGACGGTCTTGCAGCTAGGAAAGATATGACTATTTGGTGTGATAGACCCGAACTTTCTGTTGATCTAGAATATCAGGGCAAGGAAGTTCCAAAAGCAGTCTACCAGGTCACAGAACCACAAAAGGCAGCAATATTAAAATGGCTTGCGTCTCAGAAGTTTCCAGATGGCTACTGCTCCAACTTGTCTAGATGCGTAGACATGAACAAACTTACCACGACGACGAGCATGAAAACTCACGATGCTCATGTAATAATGCAAAGACTTCTACCAATTGCACTAAAAGAGATGCTCCCTGAACACGTATGGTCCTGCATTACTGAAATCAGTTTGTTGTTTCAATCGATATGTTCCAGCGTTTTGGATGCGGCATCCCTCCGGAGACTACAAGAGTCTGTTCCCATTCTGATGTGTAATCTGGAAAAAATAATGCCACCATCGTTTTTCGATACAATGGAACATCTCATAATACATCTTCCGTATGAGGCTTTGACTGCTGGGCCCGTCTTCTATCGGTGGATGTACAGATTTGAAAGGTTAGTCACAATTTCATTTAAAAAAAAAGAATATTTATTTCACAATAACTATTAACATGTGTATTATTGCATTATTGCAGATTTCTAGGAGAGCTGAAAAAGAAAGTGACCAACAAGGCACACGTTGAGGCTTCAATTTGTCAAGCGTATCTTCAACAAGAAATCTCAACGTTCTCGTCTTTTTACTTCGAGCGTGACGTCATCACCAGAAGGAAGAGACCTGCCCGGAACGATGACATTGGCGAGGATTTATATGAAAATGTAGTTTCCATCTTCAATTACCCAGGCAGAGGTAAAGGTGTTGCGACACAACGATACATCCTGGGTGGGGAATTGCAAATTGCGCATACTTATATCCTCATGAATTGTCCAGAAATCTCACCGTTTTATCAGTAAGTTAAATTTGTAGTTATAATTGTAATACTTATACATTAAATTTGTAGTTAATTTATAGTTTTTTAATTTTTGACTTCACAGTGAATTCCGAGCTTCTTTATCAGCCTTTCCTGAGAATGAAATTGATGCGTTGGTGGACTCTGATTTTGTAAATTGGTACAAGTATCAGGTATATATATACACACATATATATAATTATAATTGTAATACTTATACATTAAATTTGTAGTTAATTATTAAGTAAGTTTTTCAATATTTACCTAATGTTATTATCATGTTTATATTTACAGATCAATAGTCGTGGGATTGTCGACCCTTTGTTAGTATCATTAGTGTGGGGCCCAAGTGCCAGTGCCAAAGTGTGGCGGCAATATGTGATAAACGGTTACACATATCACACAGCCGATTACGGACATGGTCGACCAACAACGAACAACGGGTTATGTGTCCCGACCATCGGTTATGATAACTCGGAAACCAATTTTTTTGGTGTTCTGCAGGAGATTCTGGAACTTGATATGCCTTCTGGTGCGCAAAAGATGACATGCGTTCTGTTCCGCTGCACATGGGTCGATCCCACACGTGGCGTGCGCAAAAATCCGAAGTATAATATGATTGACGTCAACCACTCTCGTGTGTACCCAAAAAATGAGCCTTTCATACTCGCCCAACAAGCAGCGCAGATTTATGATGCAGAATATCCTTCAACAAGGCGGAGCCTGAATCCTTGGGTGTGTGCATGTCCTGTCCGTCCGAACAAAATTAAATCACAAACTCAACACAAGGACGTTGATCTGGATGCTTTTCAGCAACAATTGTTCCAACCTCCGCCTATTGTTGAGACAATCAACTATAACGTCCAATTAAGTGATCCCAATGGCGGACGTGTTGAAGTCATGCCCGAAACGCACCTTCCGGACCTAACCATTCCATCTGAGCGCGAAATTGAGGAAATGTATGTAGCACAACAAAACGCTCAATATCAGGAAGAAGGTGAATGGATAGACGGTTCAGATACTGAAGAAGAAACTGTATATGTAGAAAATGACGATTCTGACAGCGAGTAATTGTGCTGTTGTAACTTCAATTTTGTGATATAATTTCTCCAAGCAGATGTGATAATTTCCTTCATCAATATTGTTTGTAAAATAATTACTCCTTAATCTGTTCTATACCACATAAATTCAAAGCAGTTTATTTAATACTCCACAGTCCACACTACAATTACCATGATATTAATAATTATTCATATAATTACAATAGTAATAATAATAATAATAATCATAATAATAATAATTATATTAACATTATTTATAATATTATAATAGTAATATAAACACAATTAATTTTATTATAACGATATAATAATAATAATAATAATAATAATAATAATAATAATAATAATAATAATAATAATAATAATAATAATAATAATAATAATAATAATAATAATAATAATAATAATAATAATAATAATAATGTTTGGGTCCTGACCGTGACTATGACCGTGACTACAAAACGCTCAATATCAGGAAGAAGGTGAATGGATAGACGGTTCAGATACAAAAGAAGAAACTGTATATGTAGAAAATGACTATTCTGACAGCGAGTAATTGTGCTGTTGTAACTTCAATTTTGTGATATAATTTCTCCAAGCAGATGTGATAATTTCCTTCATCAATATTGTTTGTAAAATAATTACTCCTTAATCTGTTCTATACCACGTAAATTCAAAGCAGTTTATTTAATACTCCATAGTCCACACTACAATTACCATGGTATTAATAATTATTCATATAATTACAATAGTAATAATAATAATAATAATAATTATATTAACATTATTTATAATATTAATAATAATAATAATTCTTATTAATAATAAATCATGTCTGAAATTTTCTGATCTGATCTGATTTGACTAAAATAAGAATAAACAATAAGTAATAACTAACACAAAGACGAACAGAACAACACCTTATTCATTTTTCGATTCAATAAGCTGTGTACATAGTTTCAGACGACACATTCTTATACGCATCATATCTCAGTCAATTGGTTCTTTATTAGTCATTTTTAGCATAAAATGCTTGGGTCGCAGGAAAATGAACTTATAAATTTAATAGTCACTGTCATAGTCACGGTCCGGACCGTGACTAAACCCTTCGTAACTGCCGAAGTCAGTCCGCCGGTCAGAGCGGCGCTGACAATAATAGTCACGGTCAAACCCGTGACTATGACCGTGACTATTTTCAAAATTTGAAAATAGTCACGGTCATAGTCACGGGTCTGACCGTGACTATTCCGATTAAAGGCGGCTCTGACCGTCGGCACTGACATCGTCAATTACGAAGGGTTTAGTCACGGTCCGGACCGTGACTATGACCGTGACTACACAATTATATAAAACAAACCCTTGGCGTTTTTTCAAAAACCTACGCACCCAAACCCTAACTTCCTCTTCCTTCTCTCTTCCCTCTCTTCCAGTTTAGCTGTCCGCCGTCGCCGCCTAGCTGTCCGCCGTCGCCGCCTAGCTGTCCGCCGTCGCCGCCTAGCTGCCGCCGTCAACGCCTAGCCGTCCGCCGTCGTCCTCCGGCCGCCTTCGTCCACCTTCTTCCGTCGGCCTTTCTTCAGTCAAGGTTATGTGTTTGTTCATCTTATTTTGTAATATTTAATTAAAATTCCAAAAATGCATGATTGTATACTCAAATGCATGATAAGATGCATGATTTTTAGTTTCATATCATTTTGTAATCTTCAAAAGTTATATGTATGATTTATTATATGCATGATTTGTAGTTTTGCATGTTAATTTCATTTTATATGTTTCGTATGCATGATTAATATATGTTCAAATGTAGATTATTTTATGTTTAATATATGTTCATATGCATGATTAACATATTTTCGAATTAATGCGTGCTTATACAATT